CCATCCATCCATCCATCCATCCATCCATCCATCCATCCATCCATCCAACCATCCCTTTTCTTGCATGCCACAACCACATCAATGTTTGTTTTTTTATATTTCATTTGAGTTTTCTTCCATTTTTAAGGCTTTCAAATGACTATTTAGTCAGAGACGTCTTGAGTCAAACTTGTCATAAGTCAAATAGGTTTATTAAAATTATATCAAAGTGCTGTATGATAGTGTAATACAAAGCATTCCTCAGAATATGAACCTTTTATGATAAAGAATAGCATGGATTTTTTTCTCAGAACATCATATGGCTTTTTTCCTTTGGGCATAGAATCTTCCCATTTTTGGCAGCAAAGGTCTTTTCGTTGTAAAGTATGAAATATAGATTTGAGATTTTTATTGGAATATCAAAAGAACATTGACACATTTTCCTTTGCTCTAAGTGAATACATCAACAGTGGCAGCTTTGTAATACACTTTTCATCCTCCCTGAACCAGAACCAAATTCTGGTGAAACACTTCTGTGAATTGGGAACCCATTCCATTTGATTTTATGGATCAAGGAGTTTCTGTGCACTAACTCTGGCATGCTAAATGGAAAAGCTGTCTATCTAATGAAACAGTCTTAAACACAGGTGTCCCCCAGGGCCGTGTCATTTCCTTTTTTTTATTGTCTATTTATACCTATGAGATTATGTGCACTAATAATGGCCTCATTCTTATTAAGCCTGCTGACAATGCCACCCAGGAGGCCTGTCTGGTTACCAGTCAGTTGCAACAAAAGACAATGAAACAGAGCTGACTGACTGAATTTACTCTTAGCACCTTACAGGAAAAGGCCTATAGTCAGTCTATAGGCTGTTCAGTAAATTAGGATATACTGAATATCCTAAGAAAAAAAGTCTGCAGTTTTCTAATAGCATGCCAATAAAGACGGCCGGGACCTTTTTCTCTTGTTATGGAACCATTATTTAAAAGGACATATACTAAAGCAGACGCTCAGGGGATGTGTAGTCAATAAAGATGTTCATTACTGTCCTCGGTTTTAACACAGTGTTCTGGTTTGGTCAGCCTTCAGCGAGGAGCTTGCAAAAATGGTCAATCAGGAGCCTAAAATCATTTGGCTGCCAATAACTCCCTGATCACCAGCTGGCTTGCACACTAAGACTCCGGCCGCGAGGGGGGGGGGGGGGGGGAGGGCTCTGCATCCTCTGTGAGTGGGATGCACTGCCATGAGCCAACAAAGTCATATCACAGATCTCACACTCACATAAGGTAAAAGAATACAAATATTGACTTGTCATATGCAACTATGCCCATTCATTGATATTCCTAAATAGTATATGTTCCACTTTTTTAAAACCATGTATAATGCACAGATAATAACAAATCAAGAACTTTGATCGTCATTCCCATTCATATTCAGGACAGATTTAAGCAGTTAGAAACATGCACAGCAAATCAATACCACAAGTAGTTAAGAAGTATGAATTTAAAAGAGAATTTGTGGTGTGTATGTTTTATTCCCGCGGTCCAGTCCAATCAATGTTATCTCTCCTAAAGTCAGAGACCTGGGGGGCTATGACTCCAGGCTTTGATGTTTAAGACAATCCCAGAAATCGAATGATAGTTGGAAGACTGACGTGGGTAGATTTGAGGTTTCATACGATGAAATTCTTGATCAAATCTGAACTCAGAAGATCCCACCGCTGGAGCTTTCACTGTCACCTTCGACATCTCTCTCATTTTACTCCCTGAGGGATTTGACATCTTGGCCAAATCACAGGCAATGTCTTGAAGTGAAAATTTGATAGACCCCTGGATCACAGAAATGAAGGAATTTTCCTTTAAATGTCCCTTTAAAGATTTAATTTATTATCAGTCATTTACATCTAACATTGTCTGCGCTCCAACATCTAGTCATAAAATCTCATCAATTTAAGCTCTGCAGTTTCACATGTACTTTCCGAACCACAGGCTGGAGTTCAGACGATATAAATCTTAAATGTGGACTGGCTGCAGTGACAAGCCCATCAGAGATGATCCACTGAACAGCGTTCTGCATTACAAAAGGCCATAGTTGATGAAGGCATCTTAAACCAATCATATATTTCACCACCAATTCCACAAAGGAAGATTTAATGATGTGCATTTTCAGCATATTTTCAGTGGTGCATTAACATTACTAAAGTCATGTGAACCCTTATAACGTTACACACTGCGAAAAAAAACACACCAAAAAAGAGTACTTGATAAGAAAAACATTTTTTTTCAATGTGATGAAATATGTCTGCATACATGGAAATTAAATACAAATGGAAATATGTATATTTGCAGTTTGATGGCGTTCAAATTCCTAAATCAATGTGTCTATACGTTTTTTGCCCACCGAACTACACCATTCTAAATGACCTGAAGTTAAAAAAGGATGCAGTGCAGCTTGTTCAGTTTGAGTAGGGCTGTTTGTAGTTTAAAGTTGTGCCTTATAAAAGGTACTGCTTACAATGTTTGCATGCTGTATATTTGGGATTAGAGATAGAATCTTCTTTGCTTTGTTTGTGCGAAAGCAGAATGGTGTGCAAAAATGTGTGCATGTTGATGCAGCTGTGATGTGGGTATATGCATGTGTGTCTGTTGGGGGAGGGGGCTTTATAGGGGATGGATACAAAATTATATTGCCATTCATTTCTGTTGTGACTATTCCCACAGAGCTGTTGTTGCGCTGTTGTCAAAGTGCAAAGCCTGGAATCATTTTAGCATCAAACACACAGTGCAGTCATCTAGTTAATTAAACAACTATCCATGAGCTAAATGTCAATAACAAAGGTGTGTTTAATTTGCCAAAAGGTCAAAAGTGTCTCATCAGCGTCACAATAGGAGCCAGGCTGGACGGAGTACTGAAAACTGTAGCCACTACACCTTCCTGGGAGGCATTACTTGATTATTTCATAAATAATTAATATGTTGTGATTGCTGCCAAGATGTATGCACCCTCCCACAGCTCCGTGTCAGCGAGGTTAACTGTTAATCTAAAGTTTATGGGAGAAACATGAAATGAATTAGTCGACTCCAGTTTCTGTAAGTGGACCGTTCTATCCACCACGCAAACAGGCTGGCAAATAATGCGTGCGTTATTGGTTTGCAGAAAGAAAAAAAAACGCACTCCTAAATGTGCTGCTCGGCGCACCCACACACGCACACACGCCCAAAGAAATCATCAACTATAGTGTGGGTAATAAAAACATAATTGTACGAAGAGTTGTGTCGGTGTTGTTTTGCTACTTGAGGGGGTGGTTTCTTAGTAAAAACTCACACTGCTGTTGTGTCCGGACCAATGCACCATCGCCTGGTTGTGCGCCGAGTCTCCCGACAGAGCAAAAGTAGAAGTGTCCAGAGGAGGCTCACTTTGCCTCGGGTTTGACCCTCTGGCTTCCTCCCCAGTTCGCCGATATTCGGCTCTGGAGTTGGAGACACCTTGGACATTGGTCTGTCTAAAACGTGTTTCTCCGCTCACGGGAACGTTCCCCTGGTATGGTGGTCCTGCGCTCCTTTTCACCTTTTTTCCCCCGACGCGCTCAGACGTTTCGGTGGCAACACTGCGCTCTTTGGTCATGTTACCGTACTTTTCATCAGGTAATTTAGGATTGCTGTGGTAGTTAGCCTTGATTGATATTTCATTTCCCCCATTCGCTTGATTCTTTATTTGCTGCCCAACATTCGCTCTCAAAGCCGTGGCATCTTCAGTTTGGAATCTGCTTAAAACTTCAGACGCTTCATCAACATTTTGTTTGACTTGGATTCCCGTCAGTTGTCTGGTTACACTTGGGTCCGGTGGGGTTACCTCCATGCGATAAAATCTTTCAATCGATCTGGTGGAACTTATCTCCGCTTGAGCCCCAAACTTAAAAACAGGGGGGGAAAGCAACACGCGAGCCAGAAGCAAAAAAGTCCAAAATGACCAAAGTACCATTGTGCACTTCCAGTCTGCGAGTCCACCAGTGGAGAGAAAATACACCGCTATTAAACTTTTGAAATATTCAGGGAATCATGTTCGCGAGCAAGAGACCATTCAGGAGGACCGCTCACGTCCAGGAATTTGTCAAAGTGAGAGACCAGTTAGGGAGACGATGCGCATCAAGCAGCTCACCGACGGAGAGCAACTGCAGGAACGGTTAGACAAGTACCCATGAGGACGTCTGGGGTGGGGGTGGGGGAGGGTGTGGGGGGGGGGGGGGTAGAAAACCTATTTGGCTTGTGATGTGGGAGGTTTTATTTAGCAGTAACATCTCTGTACGTTTATGTTGACCTGTAGAAAAAGTTATCCAGAACAGAGCTTAGTGGACGACGCTGAAAGCCTTGCGTAACAGCACCCACTTTGCAAAATCCTGCTTCTCAAGTGACTGGGGAATGAAATCATTTTCGGCTATCAATCAGCTGCAGATTCACCTGTCAAACATGCTCAAGTCTGCATGTAAGATCAGACTCCATTTGCAGGAAATGCACTTGGATTCTAAAAGATCTATATGTAGTTCAAAGCCGCAATGCTGCAGATGTACAGGATTTACTGTACTTTTGCTGACCTGAATTTGTTACATTAATACCATGCCCTTAAGGTCATCTGCACAGCAGCCCAGAAAATAAAAAGTTACCTATACTACTATTAATTTGGATTGTCATCATCTTCTAAATTAGTTGATAATGAGGCACCAGCAACAGCTCTCTTTTAATCCAGACACATCCATACATTTTGCAGCATTCATTCATTTTCACAGTGCACATTTGAAAAATGGGGCATCCTCCAAATCAATATGCTATTTGAAAGGTATTAGTTTCAATTAGTGGAGCCAAATGAATCCTGGAAGGCAATTCCTACTTCCTGCTGACAGAGCTCTCACTCATAAAGAAAAGAAATAAGCGCCTTCACTTGTGAAAATTATAATGATTTCTAGTAGTTATGAATTACAATATAAACTTGGTATGTTTGTATCAGCTGCCAGACATACAGTAGCTGCCCAAGGGACAACCATAAGCGGGGGATACCTTCCTCAAGGACTACAAGAGCATCATAACAGTGGATCAAAGAATCTATTTATATATTCTTGTATGAAAAATATTTAGATTAAAAAACTTTTTTCCTTCAGATCAACCCAGGACTTGATTATTTTAGGTTATTTCCTTAAATAATGCCCTATCTTACAGACTAATTACAGTTCAAAAAAAGGAAAAACACAATTCGTATTCAGTTCTGCACCTTGTCACTGTCTTTTGGCTCAGCTCTCAGCATAAAAATAAGATGTAAACATTTATGTTAGTGGGTGGATAACAAAGTTCACAGTTTTCTATAGCGGCAAAGCAGAAAAAAACAAATGACAGTCCAACAGAAAGACTGACACTGACAAGAGTTCATTGCAAAAAGAAAAAAAGGCACTTTCAGATCTTACAGCCATTCAAAAACAGTCTGGAGAAAAACAGCAATCAGAAGCCCAGCCAGCAGTGTCCTCCTCCTCCTCAGAGGCCTCACTTCTTGGTCACCGTTTTTCGCCACGGCTGTACAAACAAATTGAGATTCATACAAGTGAGGGCTCTGGGCAGCAGGTGCTATGGTTGCAACTCCACCGCGTGCCAGACAGCTAACTCTCATTCCCGCCAGAACGCCTCTGCAATGAAGGGGTAATTGGACTGATCACACTCTGTTTACCCATTATGTTGCTAAAATGAAGTGGGTTGCTCCCAAACGCAGTGTGACAGTCCAGGGAGGGAGGAGGAGCCTCTTCCATCAATGACACATCTTTTAATCTGTACTAACCTTGGGGTGGGAGTACTGTGCAGCTTTGTTATTTACTTCTTTGGGAGTGAGGGATACAGAGAGAAAGAAAGAAAAATGTTGAACATTTGTGTTTGTATCTGAGAGACAGATATAGAGTCTGTGTGTTTGTATGCCCCTCATTCTTTGTATGCCTAAACTTTGACAAGGAATAGTATATACTTTCCTGGGTAGAGAACATCTTAGATCTCAGAATAACTTACGGTGAAAGAGGATAAGAGAAAAGGGGAAATGAGAGGACATGACTGAATATTGTGCATATCATTGTAGCTCATTCATCTTTATGTGCTCTCCTCCCCAGTGTAGATCATTAGCAAGATTATCAGATGTAATCATCTCATTTCTGTTGTTGCATAACTCTGACAGTCTGCAAACCGCACTGTCCTCCCTCCTGGTCCCACAGAGGACAGGGAGCCAACTCTAAAGCTTTCAGGACAAAATCCCATTTGTGCATCCGCTGTCTGCATTCAGGCTTGTTAGTTCCAACACTTCAGTGATCCCGGTGGAGAAGACGCACATGCAGTAGTAGAAACCATAATGGCCATCAACCAGACAGCCTGCTCTCGCGTGCAAGAGATGAACAGCAAGGTGCACTCCCCACTCGACTATGCCGAAGCCATTAAAAAGAGAGAAATTTTCTTTTATTGCAGATGGCGAAACACTTATTTTGTACCCTCCTCTTCATCCTGATGAAAGAAAGTCACTTTAAAATCACAGTGGGAGTAGTGGTTTGGGACAGTTTGCTTGGGCAATATGCTGGCCCTGTCAGGGAAAATATAATTTTCTTTATTTGTGAGTCATTCTCTCTTTGATGTCTTTCTTTGTAAGGGAACACAGAAGCTAGACTGTTAAGATATCAACATGATTAACTCAGTTTCCAGAAGTTTTCGTTCACACACATCCGCAATGTTTTGGTGAGCAGACAGTTGATGGATAAAGGTTTGACTACTTCCATCCATTTTCATTAACTCACCCTGTTATTAAAAGCATTTCTATGAAGTAGATTTAAAGTGTAAGATATAGGGTAGACAGAAAAGCTGAGGCTGGAAGTTCATTAGGAGCAGATGGGTGGAGAGCAGATCTGTCCAGGTTGCCCGTTGTCAGCTGGGACAGGCTCCAGCCCCCCCCGCGACCCTGTTGGGAATAAGCAGTATAGAAAACGGATGGGTTGTGAGCAACATTTGACAACAAAAACTCAAAGTTAGAGTATATACTAGAACGTGATCATTGGATGAAATACACCTCTGCCGAAAAACAAGATTGCATTCATGACAGAATCCTTCTCTCTTCCCGGGAAACAGATCACTAGCTATGTTTTCATGCAATTAAGCCAATTTGAAAGATGCCTTTGAAACGTTGCCTTAAAGAAAAGCATGAGGCACATTTTCACTACCTTGTTTGGAAGAAAAGAAACTAAGATGTTCAGAGTCATTACAGGGAAGCAAAGGAAAAAACAGAGTAGTGTTGTGGAGTGTCATTTGATTGACGGTGAACTAAATAATTTCACTGTGCCCCCCTGACTTATCCTGACTTATCATTGGTCATGTATTTCATTTAGTTCTGAAGGCAAGTATTGTGTGTTGGCAGTGGAGAGATACAGTATATTAACATAGCTGTGAGGGAGTAATTGTTTAAGGTGGAGAACCTTTCTATTCAGAATACCCAAGAGTTGACATTAGCGTGGTGAAGAAACACCAATGGGAATGCTTGTTCCAGCTGCAGTAATACTCAAAGGCGCAACTCTGGGAGCTGTGACAAGAGCAGATTTTCTAAATGAATAAGGTGATGGTACAGTAGGAAGAAAATAGCTTTGAGGTGCTCCTGTGGTTATCAAAGTTGGTACAATGCTGTGAAAGTTAAATTCTAATTTACTTAAATGGCACTAAATCACAATAAATGCCTTTTTAAGGCACTTGAAATTTCTCTTTTAACTCCCTTTTAAGGGGAGACAACTTCCATGAGTACCAGACACAAGATGAGTGACCATCTGCCTCAGCAGTTCAGGGGTTGAGCATATAGAAAAAAAGATGTCAGCAAGCACCATGACACCAGGCCAGCCATACCTGCTAAAAAGTATAAAAGGCTTGGATGTTCAAATGAAGAGAAAGTTCAAGTGATCTGTTGGTTTACAGACAACCGTACTTATTTGATTTTGCACATTTGAATTCTAATTACTTTCATTTCAGTGGATTGGGTCACGATCGGTTTGAAATGGACTGAATTTTTAACATGCCTCAAGATATGAGTCCATAATGTAAATACAGAGTACGTAATAAATAGCATGAAGTATCTGAAATGTAAAAAATTCAAGAGCAATAGTGTTTCGGTAACGTTGAGTTTGCCAAAATAGAAAAGTCAACTCAGAAAAAAATAAGACACCATTGGATAGCTTTCCTCCAGTCTTTGTGGACCGTGTTTCGTATGTCATCAACCCTGAAGTCCCCCCCTAGGCTGTGATGTAAACTAAAGGACATTGTTGCCAGGGAACAGAATCAACACAGTTGTCACAATACTTCTCAAACCATGATTGCCAACATGTATAGGGATCCAACACAAATTATATTTAGATGACAGGGTTAATCTCTACTCATGAGAACACATCAGTTGGTTTGGATAATAATTTTACAGCAAATGTCTCCACTAATGTAAGTGAATTTCCATTTACTTATCCACAGTAGTAAGAAATAGGGATGTATTGTAATTTCTCCGACACAGTTTGCATGGAGAATATTTCTGGTGTGATTTCTCCTTTAGAGTTCAATAAAAACTGTTCTTCAAAACTGACATTTCCAGATAGGAGTTGCCTACTGTCAGCTGTATCTAAACTAAAAACATTTCAAACTTGTGTCAAACTGACACTGGAAAAAGCAACGGACCATTCAATGGGAATCATTTGAAAAAGAATGACGAAATATTTCTTTCAATATTCAAAATATTTCTCAGAAAACATGAATATAGGCAAACATGTGGCTCCATTCAAATGTTGTCTCCTGAAACATGTCACACAGAGCACCCAGCAATTA